CTATAGAGACACTAAATTTTTAATCAAAGCCCTGTGAGGTAGCCCATAATTTATGCTGATATGCATATAGGTGCAGCTAATTTTTTAAATATATAAAAATCCTTTATGACTTAGACAGTCAAATTCAAACCAACTATATTAGAAACAGAAAGTTTATCAAAATTTTTTGGTTAAACATCTTGCTTCAGAAATACATTCTGGGTCTGTGATCTACCCCATTTAAGAGTATTTTTTACTCTTATCCTCTTTTAGCTTCTGGCCATTCATTAGTTTAATCAGTTTAGATTTGGCTACAAAACCCAGACCATGCAGTTGTGGGTTTTTCTTCATTTTCATTAGACTTGGTGGGGAAAGATTTGTTTAAAGAGCATATTTGGCTCTCTTAGGGTGTGAAATTTTTTTTCCTAAATCTTTGCAACTTGGCGTTGTTCTCATAAGCCCTCCTGAAAATGATCATCTTCAGACTGCTCACCCATTGGGGAAAGCCTCAGAATCCATACTTGAAATCTGAAAATCCATTTGCTAAATTTAGGGATGATTCTCACCAAAAAAAAAGAGACTGTTTCCTTGCTGGAATGAGAGATATACCATAATGTTCTCCTATAAGTCCTGACGTTCTGTTCTTTTTCCTGTGTGTGTGAAACAAAGAACATTCTTAAGCACAATAAAGCAAATACGATATCTGAGATTTTCACCAAACAAAAGCCAACATACAATTCTAGATCAATTTGTTCTGCTAATTGTCTTTTTAACTCAACAAAATAATTCAAAATTAAAATTTTACCAAGCTTTTAAAAAGTGATTGGGCCCTATCAATCACATTTATAATTGAATAGCTTTTTGCATAGAAATCTTATCTTCACTTTGTTATTTCTTTCTACCTGGCCTTTTGATCAGAAAAGGTGAATTTGATTTTTACGGGACATCCAGTTTTCCTTAAGATATTACCTGCAGTTTTCCTCAGGATAGATTATGTGACATTTTTATTACTTTTGCTACTGAACCAAAGTAGCTTTTTCATTTTTGTTTATGATAGGTTTTGTAAATGTCAACTTCCTTGTTAGAAAGTCAGAGTTAACATTCCAAAAGTCAAAGGCTGATATAAATAATGTTCATGTATACACAGAATTTGAAGTAATTTCATATCACTTTTTCTTATCCTTCAAAAATCAAGATAATGTACTTTTCAAATAATTGTTTTAAAGAAATCAAACTGCAATCAGAATTTTAAAAAAAGACATAATATCCTAAAACGTGATATCTATCTATACTTTAAGTATAAATAAAAAACATGAACATACAGGTAAAACCAATGTGCAATTGTTTTGCTATGACTAGTTTTGTAGTTTTAAGTTAATTATCTCTGACACTAATTCCTTGGAACTAACATTTATGAAGTTTAGGAGGATTTAAAATTAGGTTTCTAACTTTAGAAGCTGAATTCTTTTACTCCTGTTATCTCCAAGCAAATAAGATTGTTCAAGTGTATTGGTGATTAGGTTGCATCTTTCTTTTCTTTATCCTCTCAAAATTAGGAAATTACAGACCGGTAGGTTATTTAACATGCTTTCAAAAGAAGAGAGAATGGCTCAGTTTTGTTTGTTTTTTTAATTGGAATCAGTGAGTTCAGGATACTATCATAAATTTAGGGTCACAAACCCAGATGCTTTCAGTGACCAGACAAATGGTGCTCATGAGACGTGTGTGCTGGCAGGTGAGGACGAGGGGAGCCGGAGAACACCTGTCCCTCTACTGCCTTCCAGGGAAGTGCAGCCTGAAAAACCGGGCGTTGAAGCTTCTGCTTTATCTGTGTGTTTTTTGAATGTTCAATCTTCTGATTTTCAAATGTTGGCAATTACCATATTTTGCCGTGTATAAAATGTGCACTTTTTTGACCAAATTTTTTGAGGGAAAAATAAGGATGTGCATTATACATGGGTACAATGATTTCATACCATGGGTGTAATAATCCTGTGTATAATGCAAACAAAACTGTGGGTGCACATATTACATAACAAAATACAGGCATTTTTCTTCAAAGATTATGTGTAATCTGTGAGCTGCATTTGGCCTACAAGCCTACTGTCTGCAAGCCAATAACTGCCCACAATAATTTCATATTGGGAGCTAATCCATTAAGCACAATTACTTATAATAAGAAATATAATTGTCAGGTTCATTTGAATTCTTATTTTGGTTGCTCTGAGCACTATATTTGAGAACTTAAACAAATATGAAAAGGTTGCTCGGTGACTTAAGAATCAAAGTAAACAGTTATAGGATCCTGATAGATAACTCGATAAACTCATTTATTCAACAAATACATGTGAGTGTCTTCCATGTACCAGGCACTGTTTTAAACACCAGAAATACAACTGACTACAAGGTCCCTATCTAGAGGTGGGAGGTAGTCAATAAATAAGTAAACAAGAAAACTAGCACTTAGCGATAGCTACCACTCAGAAAAGTAGAATAGGGTAATGTGATAGCAGGTGCCTGACTGGTTTCCCCACACTAGTCAATGAACCTAAATACTCACCCTGCAGGCTATCAAAGTGTCAAATTCTTCCTCCTTACTCCTTTTGTTCTAGGTCCCTCTACGAGGTCACTTGTAATACGTCTTAATGAATTGAAGACGAGTTTGTTTTAAATTGGTTACCTTTTAATCTTCTTGACTAGATTTGGGGGTCATGTTGATCCAAGAGGGATTTAGGGAAACCTCTAATCTAACCAGCAACTTAATTAGAATGCCTGAGTCAGTGCTGCAGATGGCTAATTCCAAACATTTCATGTTGATTCCTTTTAGCTTGTATTTTAGGGAATACCATTTCCTAGCATATCCCCAAGTTCTGGGAATTTATTATTTAAAGATTTCTATCACTTTTGGGGGACAAGGACTAACAACAGTCTAGCAATGAAACTCCTTGCCAAGGCCCAGCCTTCTCCCACCTAAAAATGCACATTCACAAATATATTTCACACTCTTCCCTATGGCATTGTAATCTGTCCCTGCATGTTGAAATGGAGAAGCCCTGTAATACCAAGTCAGAAGATCAGAGTTCAAAGTCATTGATTTGCCTCTGCTGTGGACCACCTCTTTGATCTGATAGTCACTTAACTCTCACAGCCTTATCTTGAAGACCCACCTCTTAGGGGTCCTAGAGGACTGAATGACAGTGTGTACTTGAAAGCCAACCCTGCAAAACTCAATATTATTTATTATTATGGGTGGAATGGCCATCAAGGTCATGCTCGTTTTGCAATGTTTATAATGCAACAAATGGGTAAAGAGGCAGAGCCAGACCCGGGTAGACAGACCTCTTCTGTAACAGTGGACCACTGAAGAGAAAATAAATAACATCTTTAAAGTTATATTTAAGTTCGGAAATAGAACTGCAGATTTTATGTAATAGTAAGAGTAGTAGTGATAATAATGAACGGCTAATATTCATTGATCACTTTCTCTGTTCCAGGCATGGAGGTAAACACTTTGCATTTCTAAACTCTTCTAATGGGACAAAGAGAGGAAGAAAAAGTCAAGTTAAGAAAATGTGAAGTTGGGGGGGGCATTACTACATGCACAATGTACACTATCACCCCCAGAAGTTCTTTAAATACAAGTAGGTTGTGAGACCCCTTCTTTGAGGTTTGGAGTCTTCTACAGACCTTTGGGCTTCTTCAGACCATAATTATCTAATTTCCCCCTTTTCAGCAGGAAAGTTCAAGACCTCCCCTGCCCTACTGGCAGCATTAAGGATTGTCTTGGATGTGCCAGTATTTTAGCTAGTAAGCAAATGTTTCCCATAATAACAACAACAAAAGAACCTCTGGTTAAATATGTAAAGAAGTAATGGAAATGCAAAACAATACATTTAGTAGGTGTAGCTTAGAGTGTATCATTTTGGAAAGCAAAAGCATTTCTCTCATCTCCCCCGATTGCTCTATCAAGACGTCCATAAACTTCTCACAATATGAAATGTGTCCAACAAATGGGGACGCTGGAGTGAGAGGTGTAGCCCCATTTTCATCTGTGCCTGGGTGCAGAAGGAAGTAATGCTAATGGAGCCGTTTGCCGCAGGGCTGGTGTTATTTATAAAGGGGCGGCTAGGCAAGGTTGGCGCTGGAGCACGGGAGAGGAGAGGTTTTGTCTTCATGAGTGTGAATATAGACATGTGCGCCTGTGCAGTCAGCGTTCAGCGTTCGAAAGGCTAATTCAAGATCTTAGGGAGGGGGTGGGGAATACCATCACCATTCACGTTTATGTATCTGTCACTTGTGTTGGCAACAAACCCTTCTAGCATCGTACTTCTCTATAGCATTCATTTGGGAGTGGGGAAGAAATGGCGATTTGGAAGTGGGTGCTGCAGTCGGTGGGGGGTGACCCGACGCTGCGGGTGACCGACGACCTGAAACTGGCAAATGCGTCTCCTTGACGCTACTCCGAGGACACAAAAGTCAACCCTATCTGCACCTCGAAAAAAGCTCGAGAGGGTGGCTCCCAAATCCTGGCGACCCTTGGGTTCGAAACCGGGAGTGGGGTGCCGGCAGCTGGGCTGCGGGCATCTCAGAGGCGAGCAGAGGTCACCGAGACCAGACGCATGCAGTGTGGGTGGGGGCACCGCTTGGAGACGCGAACACAAGCCTATTCACAGGCGGCCGGTGCAGGCCGACTCCTCCGGGATCCCCAGCCTACCCGCGCAAGCGGTTCCGCGCGACTTCTCCACCCCAGCCTCGCCAGGCGCAGGGGGTGGGGGTGGGGGGGACTGGCAAGGGGACCCTCGGGCTAGGCAGGCCCGGAGTATCCCGTTTCCCCCGCCCCCTCTCCCGTGGATCCCGCGGCGGCGGCGGCGAGTCCAACTGGAGGGGGCGCTCGCACCCCAGAGCCGGGCGCAGCAGGTGCCGCTGTTACCTCCACCTCCGCGGGGGGAGAGGGGGCGGGACGGTGGGGTTGCAGCGAAGGAGGAGGAGAGCCCCGGGAGGAGGGAAATCAGCTCGCGGAGCCAGAGAGCGCGGCCGGCTCGGCAGGTTGGGACCCAAGCTCACAGCTTCCGGAAGGCGCGGAGGTCGGATAAATACATCCCGGCGCCTAGGCACCAGCGAACACCGCTCGCGCCGCCCGCACCATACGCACAGCCGTCCGTAGGGCGCAGAGCCGGCCGGCAAGGTGCAGTGCCCGCTCCTCCTCCTCCCGGGGCCGGCGCGGAGCGGCGGAGAGCAGCGGGCTCGGCCCCCGGCGCCCGGGCCGCGGAGCCGATGAGCAGCGGCGGCTGAGGGCCCAGGCTGGCCTTTGCCTGCCGTCTGCCCGGCGCCCGAGCGGGGCCGCAGCGCCCAGGGCGCGGGGTCCGGGCTGGTGACATGGGGTCGGACTGACGCGCCCCGGGCGGCCAAGCGCTCTCTCTCGAGCCGCGGGCCCTGCTCGGAGGCGGCGGCGGGCGCCTGGCCCGGCGCGCTCTACTCAGGGCGCCCGCGGGAACCTCCGCCGCGCTCTATGCGCCTCTGTAAGCGCCGCGGGCCCGGGCCATGGCGATAGACCGGCGGCGCGAGGCGGCGGGCGGCGGGACCGGGAGGCAGCCACCCCTGGGCGAGGAGAACGGCTCTCTGCCGCCGGGGGACGCAGCGGCCTCGGTGCCCCTAGGGGGACGCGCGGGCCACGGCAGCGGCGGGGAGATCCAACCGCTGCCCTCCCCGCATCCCGCCGGCGGCGGTCCTCACCCGAGCTGCTGCTCCGCGGCAGCGGCCCCGAGCCTCTTGTTGCTGGACTACGACGGGTCGGTATTGCCCTTCCTCGGGGGCCTGGGCGGGGGCTACCAGAAGACCCTCGTGCTCCTCACCTGGATCCCCGCGCTATTCATCGGCTTCAGCCAGTTCTCAGACTCCTTCCTTTTGGACCAGCCGAACTTCTGGTGCCGGGAGGCCGGCAAAGGCGCCGAGCTGGCGGGAGTCACCGCCACTGGCCAGTGGGGAGCCGAGGACTTGGCCAACTGGACCAGCCCGCCGACCATCCCCTTCTCCACTGCCGCCTGGGGGGCCGCGGGCAACCTTAGCAACAGGAGCGGAGCGGACAGGGGTGACACTCCACCCCTACCGTCCCCTCCGGACAAGGGGGACAACACCTCTAACTGCGACTGCCACGCGTGGGACTATGGTATCCGCACAGGCCTCGTCCAAAACGTGGTCAGCAAGGTAAGGGCCTCGACCGCCCAGGCCCCCGTCTCCTTCTCTTGATCCTTTTCCCGTCCTAGGTTGCCTCCACCCTCCCTTCTGCCCCTCTCCTTACATACCAAGGTCTAAGCCCGAGCCAGCCCGGGGAGAAGTCACTAAAGTGATGCTAGCCTGTGTGTATAAGCATCTCGAATTGTCTTAATCGCGCCCCGTCCCCTAGACGAGATACGTTTACTTGGGTGTGAAGCGAGGGCTTTTTGCCACCCTCCGCAGTGACCCTGCCTCGCAACTCTAAGAGGGCACTAGCCTTTCCTAGTTTTCACTCAAACTCCTGTCCCAGTGCACATAGCAAAAGAGCGCCCCTCCACCTAAAAAGACTAGAGCTTCCTTCTCCCACTCTTCTAACTAGCATCCTCGTTAGGGCAGGGTGGCCTGTGGAGCGTAAGGCCTCTGACCTGAGGAAGCCTGCTCTGGAGGACCTGCCTCATTCAAGGTCTGAGGGCCGGTGCCAGGCCCAGGGCTCCGCTCTCCTGCCTGGCTAGTTGTCCCTGTGTCTCCCATAAAGAAATATCTATCCATAAGCATAATGCCCTATTCCCAGATACCTCAGCCTCCTCCTTCTTGCTTTGGAAACAGGCTAAATAAAACCAACTAAGGAACCAAAGATGTAGCCAGAGAAGCAAAGGGCTTTTGAAAATTCCCTTTTCCCCCTCCGTGGGCTCAGCCTGCTCCAAGATGGGCATATTTGGCTTTAGATTTTGCCACTCCGGTGTTCCCTCCAGTGATTTCTCAGAACTTAATAAACATCACTGGAGGGCGGGAAGGACGCTAAGAATGTTTTGGTGCCCCAGGACCACCTCTGCTGCCACATAGCAACTTCTTTTGTCTGAGACACTGAGACTCTGGTCAGCTTTAGCTGAACTTCCAACTTGCTCCCAGTCTAGGGGAGCGCCTTTAGCAGAGGTATTGTATTGTGTGGAATGGAACCAGAGTTTTTGGTGAGAGATGTGTGGCCAGCAAAAAAATGGAGAATGAGCAATGTTAGAAAATAAGTGCCCAAGACATCTATAATTCTCTGGATTTCTTAACATGCAAGAGATATCTTATGATGATTTGTCAAGCAGTTTGTGTTTTTTTTGCCCCTTCTGTGTTTTAAATAACTAATTTGTATTTCAGACCTTTTCCTCTTTTGGGCACTTCTGGGGAGAGTTTTAAATTATTTGTTTAAAAGTGAGACTGAAATTTAACAGTTTATGATCATCAGTGTGCATGTATTTTTTTCTTCCCAAACACATGTTAGTAAACAGTTGTAGCTCACAGATATGTAAGATGAAACTCTTACATCATCATAACCCTTGTTCTAATCTTGGCAAGAAGTGATCTGTCCTGTGGGAACTGTCTGGATTAGTTGTTAACTAGGGAACATCCTTCCAGTTTAGTTCACCATGACACCTCCCACCCCTGCCCCAACTCAGGCTGGTCTTCCCAAAAGTGTTTCTGTGACTCTGTTTCCCATTGATGGAGCGCTAAATATATATGTTTTTATATATATATATGTATATATATAAAAACATATATACATATATATATTTACCAGCATGGAAAAATTAAGAACAATGACTACAGTGACTATTTTAATACTCTGTATTTCTGTGAAAATAAGGATTTGACAACATTTTCAAATCCTTTAAGCCTATTTTTAAAGTAGAGGGGAACTAACATAGATCAAAGTAAATGTGGGTGGAGAGTGTTCTGTCCTGGGGTCAGAGGAGAGGCAAACTTAAAAGTTGGAAAGTGGGGTAGACTATCATTATCTTAGCTATAGAGACTCAGGAACAGCTATTCATACTCTGCAATGGATGATAAGAGAGAGCTAAAATCATTCTTGAAAGCAGACTATGGAAGCATATTGGAGAGCTGGAAAAATTTTCTAAATTAGCACTGGAGAGGGTCACAGATAGCACTAATGTGTGCAGTACGTTCGAGGGGTGCCAGATAAGTCACAGTTATGTATAGCTGACAAGGCAAGCCTAGGAAGAGAAGAGTTTGGGACAATAGTTAGAGACACATTTTCTTGTAAGATAAAGACTGGAAGGGACATATCGATTTTCACACACAAGTAAGATCTAAATAAAGGACAGTCCTTCCACAGTGTTGTTCCATAACAAATAAAAAGCGCTTAAAGCACATTTTGGCATGTATTAACGCAGACTTTCGCTTCTGTTGGCTGTGCACGTTGGATACTCTATCCGATTGGCAAATGTGGAATCTACTGGGTGCTGAATTCGAGGGGTCAGTTGTCTGTTAGCTTTGTAAGTAGAAGCAAAAGTGGAAGGTTTTTCTTCTGTCAGTGGATGAAAGTTCAGGGTCAGAGAAGTTGCCTTTTGTACCCTCTTCCCTGACATCACCCCACTTACAAATAGGCCTCACACAATGTCTTTATCATTAGACTTCCTTCAGCATATACGAGGGGCAGGGACTGAAAAAAAACCCAGAATTTATTTGTAAAAAATTGTGTATTTATTGTTACATGTTTAAACTTCAGTCACCTTTGAAGTACTCCCCATTTTATGCAATAAACCTATGGAGACTTTTTTTTCACTGCTCAAAACAGTTTTTGAGCTCATTAATTGCGATGCCTTTTAGGGCTTCTGCCCTGTTTTGTTTCACCTCTTCCACATCAGCAAAACATTTCTCTTTGAGGACCGTTTTTCACCCTAGGAACAAAAAAAAGTTGCTCAGGACACGATTGGATGAATAGGGTGGATGGGGCACAGGGATCAGGTCGTTTTTGGTCAAAAACTGCTGAACACTCAGTGCCCTGTGAATAGGTATACTTGTAAATCACCCATTTTTGAAATGAGCAAACGCATTGAAGGAGTCTTCAAGAAACTCTCACCAAAGCTGAAGCAGCCTCTCACAACAAGGCCAGCTGATACAGATGGGTTCTTAGATCACTCACCTAGTGGGGGAAGCCTGTATTACAAGGGGCCCGCCCTCCAGAAGATAATTCTGATTTTTGGGGGTTCCTCCTTCATATGTGCCCCTACAATATACACCATATTCTGTCCTTAGGTGTTAGATGGGGAGGGGGATACAGAAGAATAGGTAAGACTATATATTACTATATTTACACTATATTATAAATATATTGTTAATATATAATAAACATGTTAATATATATTATCCATATTGTATTATATATTGAAGAGTATATTATTTATGCTGTAATAGCACCTACACAGGCTAGTTAGAATCCCATGTTACTATAGTTAATAGGGATCTTCAGGCTGACGAGCCTCCCTCCCAGCCTAAATGAGCTCTGTGATGTGGATGTCCCTTCCTATCCTGGAACCTCCATTAGCCAGGCAGCCCACTCCATAGTTGTTCTTCCTTGCAGACAGGCATGTTTTCTGGTGACTATAAGGAGGGTAATCTCATGCCTATTTGTGCACTTTATTCCTCTGAATGATTCTTTTTCCTTCACGTAATACATGTTCAGATGTTTGAGGATGCCCAAGTATGTGGTTTCTCTCCTGGCTAAGAAATTGCCAGCTGCTTCAGCCATTTCCATACATGACAAAATTTGCTGTTACTGACTTCTCCACTTGACATGTGTCTCTTAAGCATGGCACCCAGAACACAACCTGGCAGGCCCCGTGTCTTCTAATCAGTAAGAGAAGAAAAGTGGACATTCTGCTTCCTTGAATGAAGCTTACAGTTGATGAGTTAAGTCTCTTAGTAGATACAATATGCTTCTAACTAGTATGTCAAGACTACAGTCACCAAACTTCTATGGGATTATGCTGTATCAGGGCTTTCTCAGCCTACGCTTGTGTGACGTGGTGCTCGATATATGTAGGGTTCATCTTAATAGTTTTGGGATATTAGATGGGATCCTTCTATTAGGATCTTTTTTTCTGTTTTTGCCTTGGTCCTTGATATTTGTTATCTGTTCCAGAATTCGTAGTGCCTTCAAAATAATAATAATAATAATAATAATAATAATAATAATATCAGCTTTCTTTTGTGCAGCTCTATAAAATTTTCAACATACTTTGACATATATTTCCTTTCATTAAGTATATTTAGTAATCTGCCCTGGCTGGTGTGGCGTCAGCCTGCAAACCAAAGGGCTGCCGGTTCGATTCCCAGTCAGGGCACATGCCTGGGTTGCAGGCCAGGTGAGAGAGGCAACCACACATTGACATTTCTCTCCCTCTCTTTCTCCCTTCCTTCTCCACTGTCTAAAAGTAAATAAATAAAATCTTAAGAAGAATATTTAGTAACCCAAGGCCAGTCTTAAACACTGAGCATTATCTTGGAGTTAAAATCAGTTGACATACACTCAGGTGGGCCAGGTGTTCTGTGCCTGAGCCCAGTGTTCAACTTTCTGATGACATTTAGCTTCATATTTTATTTCCCAGCCATGTTGAAAGATATTGTGAGTCTCTTCCTGAAAAGAAGAACCTAATAAATTCCTGCACAGTCACTTAGAAGGCAGCTCTGGGGGAACTGAGGCAGGGTGGGTCGGGAACCCTGTGCGCTTGACCTCCCTGACCCACACCAGCATTCCCTGTGCAGCCCAGGGATCAGGTTCTTCTGAGATTTTACTCAACGAGATTAAAAAAAAGAAAAAAACAAAACCAACTCCGCTGATTTAAGGTTATTTCTTGATAACTTGGATAGTTTATTTCACATTGTTCTGAGTGAATTCTTGTTGGATTCTAGTGCTCATCACTTCTGTGAAAAATGCCTAGAATTTTGCAAAAAAAAGTCAGCTAACCTTTCTAAGCTCCATGTTTTTGTTTTTGTTTTTTTCTGTATATCAAGTTTGGGATGCTTGTCTGTCTCCAGTCTTCTGATATTTCTTCTGTTCTCCATGAATTCCCAAAGATTACTGGTTTTTATCCTGTAAGGACACCCAAGAATTATTTAAATATCCTGAGAAGTAATTTGTATTCTTTTTCTGGTATTCAAGACTAGAAAGTGACTGAGTACAATTTTATTAAGGTTAAAAA